TAGGCTGGTAATCTTTTGCTCTATGCCTAAAATCCATGTATGAGTGAGTACATACCATGTTTGTCTTTCTGTGAGTGGGTTACCTCACTCAGGATGGTTTCTTCCAATTGCATCCATTTGCCCCGGCAGGAATTTTTTAAAGGGCCTCTTATCCTATGTCTTGGGAAATAATGAGCCAGCTTTTAATATAGATGGATGACAACAGATCAGAAATGTGCAAGCCAGGAGTCCTACACTAAGTACACTAAGAACTGGGATCCAGGTCTCTTCAATGCTCAAATCTCATGATTAATTGTGATAAATTATAAGATTTTAAGGGTCTTAATGTGGAGACCTATGGAATCTGCTCAACTGCAATGCAAGACTCAGTGTTGTCAGAGTTTCTTAGGGAAAAGAAAAATACCCTCCACCACTTTCAGCCTGTCTAGAATGACATGATATGGCACAGGATATATACAGGATATTTTCATGTATTGTCCCCACCTACAATGAGTTTGCTGTTCAATCCCCCCCCTTTTAAGACACAGAGAAGCAAATGGTTGATTTTGAATTAGCTCTGACTTTTATTAATAAGCATGTTTACAAGTTTTAAGGTCTCAGCAGATAATTTATATCCTGCTACAAATAGCTCTAGCTTGTATTAACATAGCCTTAGGAATTCAGACGAGGCACCTTTACTAAACATAAATTGGAACTCCAGGGAATTTACAGAGTTGACCCAGACCATGAAGGGATTTTGTACCAGGGATGAAATCTGACCTGGTATATTATGGACGATAGGACTTCCATACCTATACTCAAATTTATCCACATTCCAAATCTTCTTTCCTGACCACTCTCATCTCAGTTTATGGGTTGAATGGTATTACACACACCCCAAAGCTAAAGTCTAAACTCTGGGACCTATAAATGATTTGATTTGGAATAGAGTCTTTGCAGATGTAATCAAGTTAAGATAAGGTCATATTGGGTGAAGGCAGCCCTAATCCAATGATTCACAAAAGGAAAATTTAGCCCCAGACACAATGCTACAAGAAATTGCTGATGGAAACCAAAGTTATGTTGCCAAAAGCTAAGGAACAAGTTGAAGGGGTTGCCAGTAACCACTAAAGACTAGGAAGAAGTGAAGGAGGATTTTTCCCTGGAGTCCTCAGAGAAAGAACAACCCTATAAATGCCTTGACTTTGAAATTCTGATCCAGGAGTGAATTCAGTTCTTATTGTTGTAAATCACCCAGCATGTAGATCCCTTGTTACAGCAGCCCTGAATGTCAGTGTTCCATAACCAGGGCTCTTCTGCCAGGCCAGAAGAGATGGACTGAGAAGATGTGTTAACACAATTGGGTATCGTGAGGGATAAAGTCAGGCAGTTTTGAGGTTAGATGTGTCTGCTCCTCATCTGATGATTAGGAGAGGAGCAGGGACACAAGGCAGACCTCAGCAAGTAAGTTCCTGACATTATCAACTTGGGTGTTAGGTCACAGCCTGTTTGAGCAGGTGGCTGTCTGAGCAGGAGAGGAGCTCTGTTAGGTGATACACATTTGTCCAGCAGTTAGACTACAAAGAAAAGAAAAATCAGCTTGTGTGGTGGTGGTCAGGTGAGGTTGGAAAGTTTATGCCAAATAACTTAAGGAAGAAGAGGATCTGGATAGGAGACCAGTCAGTAGGATGACAGTCAAGGAGTCAACAGTAAGAACAAAACCAAGGGTGACAATGACCTCATTTATTTATTTATTTATTTATTCATTTATTTATTTGTTTGTTTGTTTGTTTAGCATTTGTTAGGGCTTTACAGTTAGTGAAGCCCTTCTGCTATGGTTGGACCATTTATGTTTCCTGAAAAATCCAAGCTGAGATGTAATTACTAATGCAGTAGTAGTAATGTCTTTAAAAGGTAACTAGGCCAAGATTCTGTCCCTACAAATGGAATTAACATCTTACAAAAGGGCCGGAGAGAACTAGAGTGGCCCTCCCTCCCACCGCACCTTTGCCGTGTAAGGATATAGCATTTGTCCCATTAGGAAGGTGAAATAAGACACTATCTTAGACACAGATATTGAGCTCACCTAGACAACAAATTTGCTGGTGCCTTGATCTCAGATATTCCAACCTTAAGTACTGTGAGAAAGTAAATTTCTATCATTTGTAAATAATCCAGTCTGCAGTCTTTTGCTATAGCAACAGGAATACACAAAGCGAACTACAAACTGTTGATTTTATCTAATCTTCAGATGGTCTCCTAAAAAGACAAGGACATTAGCTCTTCACTTTTCCCATGAGTAAAGGGAAGCTGAGAGGTTAAATCACTTGCCTAAAGCCACATGTCCACGTTAGCACTAGAACTTCAGCCCCTGACTTGTGTCTGAACACTGTGCTGCCCGTAAGAGGGTTACAGCCAGTATGGCCTCGTCCTTGCTTCCACCTGAGGGCACAGACATCCTTAGAAGTCTGCAGCTTCTCCTCCCAGGAACCTCCACACAAAGCAGGAACTCGTTGCACAATGGTAGAGACAGATGATTAATTGAGGTGAGGGCTGAGTAAACCAGTGGTCCCAGGTCTTGAGCGTGGCCAGGACTCTCAGGTTCTGCCTCTGCCAACATGTGCCACAGAGATGAGCTGACAATGGCATCACCTGCACTGAGTCTTTGTGTCAGGAGGTAGTCATGGCAACTCACTTGCTTCCTCAGCCGATGAGTAGACAATTAGGTAGAATGGAGGAATCAAGTTAATTGCCTGTCATCTCTTCTCTGCTCCCTGTGTATTGATTCAAATTAAGCCTTTCCAGTCACCTAATGTCAGCAGATACCAAATGAAGAGCACAGACCTGGGGGCCAGGATCTCCAGAAAATAACTATTTGTAAATGACACTCTTAACCTTTCTCCCTGTGTGTTTCTGACCCCGGCATTCACAAAAACAAATCTCTTTGACTGACCTCCTTTGATTTCTGATCCAAAGTCTCTGAGATGCCTAATGATAACCATTTCCGATATCAAGTCCATTTACCTAGGCATTCCCTCTTTTTCAGAGTGAAGATAAAAGGAATTCAGACTAAGACCTGTATTTGTTGAAACCTTGGGTAGCACAGAGAGAACAAGTACATAAACCAGTGGTGGGCACTCCGCTGTGCATGTAGCACACATGGGGGTCTAGGTGCCAAGTTCTAGATGTATTATGTGACAAGTGTTACCATCAGCTCGGCTACCACCCAGTCCACAGCTACAAGAGAGATCTTGAGAGATGATGGATGGAAACAACCTGTCCTTACAGTGTCATTTCTATAGTCAAACATAATTATTTGATTGATTCCATGATCTTTGCTTGTTCTGATTTTTAGGGTTTGGGGGGACTATTCTTTCTGAATAGCTTTTCGAAATTTTAAAATATTTAAAATGTCAACTCTGATTGTTTTTGTTCAGAAAGTCATCTCAAAACTGAATTTGGAGCTACTAAACACCTAATCCTGTGTTTTTAAAATAGACACCAAGCAGGTAAGCACTGTGTAATGAATTACCTCCTTACTAGACTGTAGGCTTCTTGGGGCGGGTGGGGCAATGACTATGTCTTCCTGGACAGTGCTTCTTGGTGCTCAGAACAGTGCTTCATGCATGATAAACATATTTATTGAATAAGTGGTTGATTTAAGAAAATGTGTAATGATGTATTAAAGGCTGATGCTCTTGAAGAGGGGCATGCTTGTTTATGGCCCCGAGTTGAATGTCGATTGGAAGATATTAAGATTTCTGTACTATTTGCAGTTTTACTCAAACAGTGTGGCAAAAGTTTCATATTTCTTTGGGTTCTGGAAGAGGCTTCCTCAAGAACTATGCCCTGCTTTTTTCAGGCCAACATTTCTTCTGAGACTTGTGGTCATGCTGGCAATGAAAACGATGAGCCTAAGACTGAAGGTGTTGGCTTATGGTGGGAACCGGGGAGGAAGGAAAGGGTGACATGAGGGTCTCAGGATGAAGAAGATACAGTGAGGACTTTGGAGACATAGTTGGGATTTCTTTTGGAAGTTCTTCCTGACCAGATCAAAAAGTTTGGGAAGTAGATACGTACAGACTAGTAGACACTGTGGAGCCAATAGAAGCTTTACAGTTTAATCGGAGAAGTGACAGTATAACTTAACATTATATATATATATATATATATATATATATATATATATATATATATGGTGCTGAGAGTTTTTACAAGTGCTTGGGGGATGTGGCAAAATGGAAAGAACAAGGAGCTGGGATTTGGTAAAATAGGCTCTCATTAACTAACTGGGGGGGGCAGGCACAGTTCTGAGGCTTAGTTCTCTTTTATGTAAGTGAAGGAAAATGAAGAACCAATCACTCTCTAGAGACTGGATTTCTTGTTACTGCTTGAGACTTGAACATGGCAGGAGAGTGAGGCCAGTATCTTAGGCTGGATTCTAGGAAGTTTAGATACTTGGGTAAGTGCTCTCTGCCCCACCGGGGGCTTATAGTCTACTCGGGACACAGTTTATGTGCACAGTGCTTGCTGCTTGTTGTCCATAAAAAATAGGATTCATTTAGTAGTGCCAAATTCAGTTTTGAGATGGCTTCATGGACAAAACTGTCAGAGTTGAGACATCATTTAAAAATGTAGGAAAGTTATTTGGAGATGGTGGATGGTTGGTGGGGTAGCATTAGATTCATCTTAGGATCTTCACCACCTCTCCTCTTTGGCAGGAAGCCATGTACCAGCGTGGGAACCAGATGCAAGTACATTCAAATCCCCTGATACTTACTGACAGTGTTTGACCTGCAGGCAAGTGTCTAACCTCCCTCTGTCTCAGTGTCTCCGTCTAGTTATCATAAAGGTTGGTTACTTGATACCAAGAAAAGATACAGAGGGGCTGGAGGGATGGCTCAGGGCTTGAGAGCACCTGCCCCTCTTCCAGAGGACCTAGGTTTAGTTCCTAATTCCAACACAGCAACTCCAGTTCCAGGTGATCCAAGGACATTTTCTGACCTCTGTGGACACCAGGCACGCATGTGGTACACATACATACATGCATAAAATAAAATGAAACAGAATAAAAAATATTTGCTGTCATTCTTCTTCACAAAGGGATTGGTATAGTGTTCGTGTTTCTGCCCCCAGATTCTGGTTGTTTTCACACAGAATTCTATAATATTTTACCCCACAGGCTCATCTGTTTTTATTTGTTTTTTTAAATGGGGAAATCTAGAAATCATAAACTTTTACTTTTGTGGATTTAGTTGTCCAGGACTGACTCAGCTTGCTTGTAATAAAAACCTATAGCACTAAGTTGAAGTGGGCGGAGAGGATTTGGGTTTTCACACTGTGTTACAATACCAACTATTACAGATAATAACACCTTTAAGTGCTGGAACCAAACCATTCAGGACTATCAGACAACTAACTCAGGGTCAGACGGATAAGGATGGGGCAGGTGAGGCCTTGGGTTCTTTGTGAAGTTCTTGGACTCCTTTAACATTTTAGCAGCGTGCCAACTACTACCTGTCATGCTATATACTAATGCTCTTAAAGGTAAATTTATTGAAGTTCAAGCTGACAGCATTTCATAAATTATCCATAAATTTGATCTTGATTCTGAAATCAATAAAAAAAAATAGCTTCTGTAGGTGAGGAGGTAAATGATGTATATGCTGTAGCTCCTTCTAAATGCAATTTTGAATGACATTTACGGATTATTTCTGATGGTTTTTTTTCTCTCTTTAGTCACCACGCCCAGTGTTTGTTTTGCTCTGAACCCAGTCATTGCAATGGTGATGTTTAGGATCTGACGAGGCTTTTATAAAGATTATCATGTGATGAACTGGCCCTCCCCCAGTACCCTCAGTTCTGAGGCCTTTTGCAAGTCGAGGCAAGTCTACCACCCATGTGGGCAGACATAACGGCAAGGGGAGACAAAAGTCTTTGAGGACAGCCCTACCTCAGTCACTGTTCCCCATTCAGAACCTGAGAGGCGCCTGGCACTTTCCAAACACTTGGTGGATATCAATGTCTGAAAGTTTTGGGCCTTGGTTAAGCAGATGGAAGTTCCTGGCTAGGAAAACCTTCTAATGATAGCATATGGAGGCACTTTCTAAGCACGAAGTTCAGCCATGGCACTGCAGAGGAAACTGGCTTAATCTTCTTCACTTAACTGTGTTGTCTTGAATGATTCTGGAAATCAAGACACTAACATTGTCTTAGTAAGTCGGGAGTAAAGCTAAGGACCCCCGCTAGCCAGAGCTAACATGTAAGGGCACTAAGGGTCGAAACAAAACCCAAGTCCCAATGTGGGACAGTGTCTGCTCTGGGCTGAGCAGATCCTCACCAAATGCAGCCGGTTCCATCCTACAGAAAGGTATAAACATTGGCCTTGCCTTTCGTGGTTCGGGATAGAATGAAGGAAAATGAACAAACGGCCCCATGGATGCTCAAGGTTAACTGCGCTGACAGTTAATTACAGGTCTGAAAGAAGAGAAACGACTGTCTACAAGACGGCTTCCTGGCTGTGATTTCCAGGACCCCTGGCAGAGTGAGACTTCCAAGACCTGTTCATTTTTCTTTCACTCCAGTGCATCATGTCTCCAGTCTCCAATGACAATTCTGTGTGTGTGTCCTGAACGATTTTTTTTTTGGTCAACTTCTGAGTTATTGCCTAGCACTTAGCAACTTGAAGACTGGCAGAATGAAGTCAGATGTAAGCTGGGGAGGTAGACCATTCTATTGTGGAGTAAACAGTTGGTTATTCCTAGCCAGGGCTGTTTGTCCTGCCTCACGAATCTTCACACCACTCGTGCCAGAGCAAAGTGTAGGCATTCCGCGCAGACCCTGGTGCGCAGGAGTCCAAACTGCCCGGCATCTTGAAGTGGGTAGAGGGGTGTGGCCTCTTCTCCTCTTCAGCAGGACAGGATCTTGAGAAAGGCTTTGCGGAACTCCACGTTGAAGGTGGTGTAGATCACAGGGTTAAGGGCACTGTTGACATAGCCTAGCCATGTTGTGGCTCTGTAAAGCTCTGGGGACACATGGCATGCCTGGCAGTGAGTATTAAGAACATGGGTCAGGAAGAAGGGCAGCCAGCAGACAATGAAGGCTCCTGGGTTACAAAGAAAGAGGGAATGGGTAAGGAGTCTGCTCATCACTTTCCTTACACATGAAAACAATGTTAGCCATCTGAGTAGGCCATCGCTGTTCTGGGCATCACACTGGGAGGTTTTTTGTTTTTGTTTTTGTTTTACGAGACAGGGTTTTGTTTTGGAGGCTGTCGGACCAGCCTGGCCTCGAACTCACAGAGATCCGCCTGCCTCTGCCTCCCGAGTGCTGGGATTTAAGGCGTGCGCCACCACGCCTGGCTCCACGCTGGGGGTTTTACATGCCATTTACTTTCTGTTTGCTTCGCTTGCTTTCCCCTCATTGATTTACCTTTTCTTTCATTAATGCTATGTGGCATCTCTGACTTACCAAATTTTAATTAATTAGATGTTAGAGTTTAGAGTTTTGTCTTATTTTTCACACACACACACACACACACACACACACACACACACACACACACATACACACACACACACACAGGTTTTCTCGAGACAGGGTTTTGATGGGGGAAGTCCTGTACATTTGTTAATAAAGCACTGTTGGCCAATAGGAATCTAGATGGGTGGGACTAGGAGTCCAGGAGGATTCTGGGAAGGAGAAACACAAGAGAGTTCGAGATGTAACGCCATGGGGTAGAAGCCGGAACTATTCTCCGGTAAGAGACATACTTAGATTAACAATTATGGGGTAATTACTTAAGTCAGAGCTAGCCAGTAAGAAACAAGCAAGGCCAATAGCTTCATAATGAATATAGCCTCCTGTGTGTTTATTTGGGGACTACAATGCGGCAGAGCCCAGGCGGCTGGCAGGGGATAAACCAAAGCGGCTAGCAAAGAAAAAGCTTCTCTTAACAGGGTTTCTCTGTATTGTTTTGGAGGCTGTCCTGGAACTTGCTCTGTAGACCAGGCTGGCCTCGAACTCACAGAGATCCACCTGCCTCTGCCTCATGAATGCTGGGATTAAAGGTGTGCGCCACCAATGCCTGGCTCTTCTCACTTATATTTTAAATAAGTAAATATTTATTGAATACCCAGTGTGTGCCAGATACTTTTGTTGACTCATTATTACTCGATTTTATAAATCATCATTCTATATGATAACCCAAATTAAGTGGCTTCATAAATTTCATTTAGGTCTTTTGAGTTTTCGTACAAGTTAATAGTCATACAGAATCCTTCTCAGTTTCATTATAGATTGTATAATTGAATTTCCAATGTTGTTTAAATGCGTCTATGATGACCCCTACTGCAGCACCCAGCTCTAGCTCCAACTAACCGTCTAACCCAACCTGGATTAGATTCACACTTACCAAGCACAATGGCCACCATCTGGGTGGCCTTCTTCTCTCGAAGTGGCACTCCCCTAGGTTGCAGGGGCCCCAGCTTTAGGGATGTGGATAACCTGCCATTGCTGAGTTTTCGAACCTCTAAGCTGAGCTTGGGTGCCATGGTGGGGCTCAAGGAGTTCCGAGTCCTCTCCACTCGACTCATCCCTCCTCCTCCTCCTTGGAAGCTCGGGTGCCTCAAGGCAGTGTCTTGGCAGATGCTGTAGTAGCGCTTCAGCTCCCCATGTGTCTGGCCAGGAGATAGGGGCTGCAGGTGTGACAAAAGAGGGTCCTGGCATTTCTGGGGATAGTTTTTGTCTTCTATGTGCTCCTGAAATGGAAAGATAATGAAAAGAAAAAGGAGGAAAGCCTCCTTGTGTACAACCTGCAGGGGGCATGGTGGGACCATGAGAAGTAATGGAAATGAAATCCACTTCTGACTTTACAACTGAAAAGCAGCCACCCCATAGAACATTCCATCGTCATAGCAAACCATGAGGAAGGCACCCTAGCATTGCAGTCTGCCCTTTCTGAGCTAGAAAGACCAGGTTATAGCAATTAACATATTAAGTGCCATCACTGGGATGTAATCAGCAAAATAGGGAATGTGGGAAACCCTGCAAGATAAATGCTTTGAGTTCTTAAACGCACACATTACAGTAACAAACACATATGAGATGTAAAGGTATGGACCTTAGATACTCGGGATTTGATCCTTGCTTTTCCTCTAAGATTTATTTATCCAATTATCTACTTATTTACGTATCCATTTATTTTATGTGCACTGGTGTTACTCTGTGTGAGGGTGTCAGATCTCCTGGAACTGGAGTTAGAGACAGTTGTGAACTGCTATGTGGGTGCTGGGAATTGAACCAGGGTCCTCTGAAAGAACAGTCAGTGAGCTATCTCTCCAGCCCAGGAATTTGACTCTTAAGGGTATGTGTGTATTTGTAGTTTGGAGCATAGATGAAATAAGATTGGTCACAAATTTGATAACTGATGATGCTAGCTGATGGTGACTCTGAATTTGTTTTGTCTTTTCATTTAAAAATTTGTATTTAATTTCACTTTAAGATTGGGTGTCATATAGCCCAGGCTGGCCTTGAATTTGCCATAAAGTTTTTCCTGCCTCCACCTCCCAAATACCTGGGTTATAGGTATGTACCACACTTTTGTTTTTGAAATTTTAAATATCAATGTTTAAAAGGGGGGAAAAGAAAGAAAACTAATATTTGCATCATAATTTTTCTTAGTAGATGTTATCCTTTAGGAAGTTAATGAACTGTCTCTAAGCTTCAACTGTAAGATGGGAAAAAAAAACTAGGAAAATAGAATGTGATGATTTTTTTCTGGTATTTTTTGCCTGGGGAAGGGAGTTAATATGTATGTGTTTGACATTTGAACTTTCCATATTTGATTTTTGTTGTTGTTGTTGTTGTTTTGTTTTTCGAGACATGGTTTTTCTGTGTAGCTTTGTAGACCAGGCTGGCCTTGAACTCACAGAGATCCTCCTGCCTCTGCCTCCCGAGTGCTGGGATTAAAGGCATGTGCCACCACTGCCCAACTGAATTTTCCATATTTGAAAGATTTAGATACTTGTGTCAATATTGAGTAGGAAGTAGGGTTCTGTAATCCCTACCACCAAAGTCAAAAAAGTCAGCTATTCCTTCTTTACCCTTCCTCTCTCCTGTCTCTTCAGGTAAACTAGAAGCTTTGGTACCTGAACCAAGCTCAGACAACAGGAGATTCATATATGAATCTTTGGGTTGGAGATTTTAGAACTTTTGGCTTTTGTTTTGATGTGATTTCTTAATTAATTTCCTAATTAATATGTTATGTTATGCCAATCTATATCAAGACAATATTGATGATTAAGTTGGCATCTGTTATCTGAAGATCACAATATTCAACTTCTAGTGTTACTTCTGAAAGTTACTTGTTGGGGTTCTAGTTGGGGTTGGGGATTAGTTCTTGGGAGTGCCTATGGAACTGAAGAACATCCTGCTTCCATGTCCTACAGGGAGAAAGTGACTCTTCTGAGATTCCATGCTGGTGTCTGTGATTTTCTGTTAGCTCTGTAAATCCTTAGCCCTACATCCACAGCTGATGTAGGAAACACTGATTCCTCCATGGCTGGCTGGCTGGCAGAGAGACTTCTATTCCCAGATGGTAGGACAGAACCTAATTCTCCACACTCCTGGCAAGGCAGCCTCATGGCTCTCCAATGACTTCCTGTGAAGTCAACACTTCTCCTTCAGCCTTGGCATCCGCTCAGACCATGGATCTGTTGTGTTGACTTTAAACTGCTTATCTTTCTGTTCTCATTTACAGCAAGAGTCTCTAATTGCTACATCAGGCCTGTGTGCAGAGTTGTTAATTACTTTTAGAGAGACTGGACAAGGCTCAACTCTTCATCATTACCAGTTTTTGAAGCTTAATTTCTAATGTGAGTTTGGGAAGGGGAGCCATGGTCTTGTGTTTGACGTCTTTAGGCTCTTTTCTACACTGTGCTAGTGAGCCACGCCAAGGGCTGTCTTGAATTGGAAAGGCAAGGCTTAGGGAGACCATGAAATTGCCATGGTTTTGTACACAGTCAGTAACAAACAGGACACTTGAAACCTTTCTTTCTCTGGCTCTTCCTATGCATCCATTTCATTGATATCCTATTCCCTGTACTGTGGGAAGCTCTGGGTGGCATCCTTACCCCATACCCGAAAGTCATTGACTCCAGTCATTGGATCTATCCCACTAATCCCAAGATTTCTGAATGTCATCAGATAAAACCTGTTCCTAGACTTCAGTCACGTAGACTCTGGAATCTTGGCATATATTATAAATGCATGTGTGGGATCAGTAAGGAATCCCGTGTTGTGGTAGGAATGAAATCAAGACAAAACAACATCTTAGAGAAAGATCTCTCACTCTTTTCCCTTGATTCAAGACATAGCCTCCTTACCATTTGTCCCGTGGCATCTGACAGAAACCTGGCCCTTATTGAAAACTGCCGAATGGGATGCAGCCGCAGACAGGAAGACTGGGGTATTTGAAGGAGAAACAATCAGTTATGGGATAATCTCTACAAAACTGAACCATATGTAATTATGTAGCATGACAGTACTTGGAAGGCACTATATTTCTATCTTAAACCTCAGGTCACAGTCTGCCATTTCACGGGGACCAATCATCTTTTCCTATGCGAGTCTTAGGACTTTGTGAGTCTGGTGACACAGGTCACCAGAGATTGGGCTAGACACCTGAACTGGTTCTGTCTTTAGGACTTAAAAACTCAGTTCTTTCTCTCCTCAGGAAACCCTGTCTTGAGCGCATTGGTCATTTTCTTAATGTCTATGGCAGTTTGTATTTGGGCATTCCATTGCCTTCACATTTGGCAAACATCTTAGTCAGTTTTGGGTTTTGCATTGCTTTTTGAGTGGAGGTGAAGTTTATTTTCATGTTCAGATTCCAAGCTCCATGAAGACAGTGGCTGTTTGATATAAAGGTCCTTATGTAACTTGGTTGGATGTGATTGGTACTCATGGCAGGGAAGCCACCATATGCTGGGCAGTAGTGTGAGCAAAATCTGAAGCTCAGTGGACTTAAAGATCAGTGCTGAGGTTCCAAAATACTTTGTAGAGCCCAGAAAGAGCCACCAGCTCGTCAGTGCCTTGACACAGGGACAGATCAGGAAGATGGGGGTCAGTGGATGAACTGTGGGAAAGCAGTGCATGGTGCGGTACAGTGAAATGCTACCCTGCCCTCATGCCAGTTCAAGAAAATCAAACCTCATGGGATGTCTGAACTGCTGCTGGTGGAAGGCTCTGAAGAGAAGTAGAACCATCTAGAAAGCATGCTATCAGCTTACTAAGTAAGGTGAGATCTAGGAAGACCCAGTATATTCTCAATTTGGATTTCCTACCCATAAAGCACAGACAATGCCAGCTGAGTAGAAAGTGATGTGAAGTCTGTCTCCTAGGTGTCGATACTGGCATCATCTACGCTGATAGACATGTGTCTGGAGACTGGGGCTGGCGTGTCTTCCTCTAGCTCCTGCCAGGCACTTGCTTACCTGCTGCGGGAATCCAGGTCTGATGCTAACACACTGACTGTTCTGTCGAGTGAGGATCCGTTTCCGTCTCCTTTGTCTCAGCACCATGTAGATCCTGGCGTAGACCAGGACAGTCACTCCGAAGGGAACGTAGAAGGACACCACTGAAGAGTAGATGACAAAATCAGGGTTGGAGATGGAGCAGATGCTGGGGTCCCCTGTGGGTGAGAGAGGGGAGAAGGTAACACCATCATCCAAGTGTCCATCCTCAGTGTGGAGCTCTGAGCATGAGTTCACATGACATGACACGGTGGTGGGGAAAGGAACACATGGCTTCAGGCTCCCATGTTGTCAGTGCTCTGGAGGCAGAAAGCTAATTCCTCTTTGCACTTCACAGAGTTGGTTTCAAAAGAAAATTCAGCAATGATTATATTCCAGACACTGATCTGGGCGGAAGCTGTGAAGATGAATAAGACAGTGTCTGCCCTTGAAGGAGCAAAGAGTCTAGCTAGACAGATGATCTCTTCCATGCAAATGGTCATTTGTAACCCACAGGAATGTAGCCTGGGAGGCTAAGGAGGACCACACAACAGGAGAGCAGAGGCTTCTTGGAGGATGACACACCTAGGAAAGAGGCTGTTGATGTGGAGGCGTGAATAGATGGCTGAATGCAGTGAAAGGGAAAGGCTTCTCTTGGATCCAGGGTGTGGGGTGGGTGGTGATGGAATAGAAGACAGCAATTGGGGAATCCCTGCACTGGAAAGGATGGAAAGAGCTGGGAACGAGACTGCCAACTCAAAAGAGTCTCTAGCCCCTGAGCTGTAGAGATGGCTCTGTGGTTAGGAGCATTTGCTGCTTTTGCAAGGGACTCAGGTTCATTTTCCAGCACCCATACGGCAGCTCTCAGCCACCTGTAACCCCAGTTCCAGGGAGTACAACACTTTTCTCTCTGACCTCTGTGGGTAACAGACACACACTATGCAGATACACACATGCTAGCACTCACACACACACATAAACATAAAAATAAATGTTTAAAAAAATAAAGAGTTCTTGTCCCTAACTTATGGCCCAGAGTGCTACTTCAATTCTCTTTGGGAAGCACTGTGAGTTTACCTTCTTCACTAGATGTGGAGATTCATCCAGTACCCAGAATGAGGACAGAGACTCACTCCATCTTGGGATGGAGAAAGGAAGCAAGTTAACATCTGCTAGATAACAGGCCAAAGGCTTCATATATATGATCTTACCCAATCATAGTGGGAGGGGACACTGCTGTCGCTATCCTTAGATATGCGGGCTGAATTCAGAAAGGTTTACTAAGTGGCCCAAGGCAACACAGTCTGAAAGGTACTTTTCTCTATCCAGTCTGACCCCAAACCAATCTTCCTTTGGTAGTTTCCACTTTCCACCTCCTTCTGCTCCCAGGACAGGGCACCTCCGTGTCTCACCCCACATTATCAGCAACAGCTCTTGGCACACCTGCCCAGTCTTCAAAGAAGAGTGGCAACTCAGGTCCAAATCTGGCCTTGGGAGATGTGGCCTGAGATGTTTGATGGCAGAGGGGGCAGGGGCCACTGGGTGCTCTAGTTTTGCTTCCTGGTCTTCTAAAATGGGTTGAGGACACCCAGCCCTGGGTGTGGCACATGGACCTGCTGAGGCACCCAGCTTTAGTTTCATTGTGCACAAAGGGATACAAATATTTCCTGCATACTAGCTGTGAGTAATAGTGAGGATAAATGATTGCTGTGATTAGTGTCTTATTTTGGTTTGTTATGCCATTGTTGTTTACCTCTTCTGAGAGGTAATGGGAAGTATCCATTGAAATAAAAGGTTGGAGAAAGACTCACAGAGAACAATATTTGTGGGGGAAAGGAAGAGAGAAAGTTAAGAACCAAAATGAAAGGAGAGAGTGTGTCCAGGACCCAGGGAGGTATTTCAGTAACAGCATGGCCCACAATCCTTACAGGCTGCTCCCAAATCCTCTCATGGGAGATGGGGTGAAATGAATGCCATCTCACCAGACATTGCACCAGCATCCCTGGGTAGTGATCACTAAACTAACATCTTCTGTTCTGGGGACAATGAGGTTGGGGGCAGGCATGGGGTGGCAGCTGGTGGGCCTTCTCCGTCTCTAGGGAGCCATGAAGTCGTGATCAGCCCTGCCATTGAAGTCAGCTCGCCTGCTGTCACTGGCTGGCCCAGATCTCAGTGCCACCTGTGGTGAGGAGGAGTCTCAGCGTGTGTTAGTAAGCAGGGCCAGAGGACTTGTTTTCCCAAGAGTTAGCTCCATGCCGCCTGCCTTGGTGAGCTGAGTGTTCCTCGTTGTTCCTGTGCACACTGTCTCTCCCTTTCTCTGTCCTCCTTGTTAACGTCCATAAATGAACTATTCTTGAAAATAACAGAGTCAAAAGTAGGTATAGTATGTTTTTCTGTCACACACGCACACACACACACACACACACACACATGCACGCACGCACACACACACATAGATGTACTTGTTCCAAGCAATGTCTTTCAGGAATATTAGTGTTTGCTGCAGAGGAGGGATGGGGGCTCTGGCAATCCAGGGTAGGAGGCAGACTGACATAGATAGAAGTCTGTGTGTATCTCATTATACCTTATGAATGTTTTATCATGTGCAAGCATTTATTTTTCCATTAAAAACATCACAACTGTGTGTATGAAGGGAAGAGGGAATGAAGTTGAAGCCAGCAGCTATTTAGGGTCATTGACCATGATGGCTTCATTTACAATCGCTGGACTTGCTTTGTCATCCCTTCCCACTTCCTCCTCTGAAAACAGCTGCTGTCCACACTCAAACCAATATTTCCAGAGTCCTTCCCACCGTGTTATGTGGTCTCAGGTCTGTACAGCCAGTGGGGAGACACTGGAGTTAGAGGCTGATGAGCGCTGTGGGTGGGCATCTAGTCATCAGGGCAATGGGAGGCCTCATGTAACAGCAGTCTTAAATGCTTCTCTGTTGAGTCCTCAAGAGGTGGTTTGGGCTGCTGAGGCTTCTTCAGGAGACACAGTGCCTTTGTCTGATCTGAATCGGCACTGTGTGGGAGCACGGTAGTTACTGAATGAATATATGAATGATGAAAACAAATGAGGAAAATGTACAAAGGAGCATTTTATCTAGGCACATAAGCACCCACTGGCTGGTGGAAGGCCAGATAGGCATGGGGAGTCTCTCATATCACTTTCTAGAAACAGAAAGAAAAGGGGTGGGGCAAAGACATCTACTTACTGAGTTAGATGGAGGACACGCTAGGTTCAGAGTTCCTATGCTGGGCAATAAGACACTAGCGAGGGCACAAGTGCATAAAGTGCTTGCTGTACAAGCACAAGGATGCGAATTTGGATCCCCAGCATGCACGCACAAAGACAGGTATGGCCGTTACCCCATACTTGGGTGCAGGTGGGGGGGGCAGAGACAGAAGAATTCCTAAGGTTTACTGTCCAACCAGTCTAGCTTAATAAGTAAATTCCAGATTTAATGACAGATCCCATCTCAAAAAGCAACACAGTAAGACCCTGAATTAAACTTCTGCCATTTATATACATGTGCAAAACACACACACACACACCCCACACCATACACACATCACATATACCACACACACACCACACACATACATACACATTCCCCACACATATACAATATACTATACACACTTCATACATAACACACATACACACCACCTACACACATACCACACACACACACACCCCACACCATACACACATCACACATACCACACACACACCACACACATACATACACGTTCCCCACACATATACAATATACTATACACACTTCATACATAACACACATACACACCACCTACACACATACCACACACACACACACCACACCATACACACATCACACATACCACACACACACCACACACATACATACGCGTTCCCCACACATATACAATATACTATACACACTTCATACATAACACACATACACACCACCTACACACATACCACACACACACCACACCATACACACATCACACATACCACACACACACCACACACATACATACACGTTCCCCACACATATACAATATACTATACACACTTCATACATAACACACATATACACCACCTACACACATACCACACACACACACACACCACACCATACACACATCACACATACCACACACACACCACACACATACATACACGTTCCCCACACATATTCAATATACTATACACACTTCATACATAACACACATACACACCACCTACACACATACCACACACACACACACACACACCACACACACACACACACACACACACACACAGAAAAAAGAAGAGGCAACAATAGCTGTAACAAGGAGGGCCTTGGAGGTTTCTGTGAGCTAGGCTGAGAACTTGAGCTCCGTAGTGATGTGAACGGCAAGGTCGAGAGAAGGTTGACGTGAAAGACTGATGAACTTTAGACTTGCTGAAGAACTTGACCTCACTTCAGTTCCAAAGACAGATGCTGATGAATCTGATTTTAGGATGAATCACTATCTTTCAAACAGTGTGCTTTTATTCTTTTCAACTTTTGAGCAGCCACGTTTCTCCTGTCTCCAGTGTTCTGAGAGCTAGGTGACATTTCTATCACTAAAATAAAATAAATAACAATTTTCTTTTTTTTTACTAAATGAAAATCAAGCCAACTGATAGGATTTTCTTAACTTTAAGTCCCTTACCCAGAAGAATTCTTAAATCTGATCACCAACTATTGCTTATTCATTCTAGAACTCTCTTTTTAAAATCACACAATGGGTATCTGATTTGACAGAAATTCAAATACTGTTTCTCTTATCTGTGAAATGAAAGGACTCGAGCTCGTTCGGAGATCTTTCAGGTTGCCCTTTTGTTTGAACGTACAACCTTCCTCCGCATCGTTAGGGGCTGTTGATTTGATGGTTGACTGAACTTCTGTGTCTCTGGTGGAGCTAGGGCAATACCTGTCAGCCAGGCCCTGCAGCTCTGGAACTCTCTCCCACCCAAGATCCTGCCTCCTGCTACCCCTTTTCAAAGAAAACAAGCCACTCGGAGTGCAAATTGGCTGAAGTTTAGCTTGCGTCTGTGGTCTCTAGTTCAGAACTACAAGTGGCAGGCCATCGCCTTAAAAGAAAAGGCCTTGTTACATTTATTAAAGTCAAGCTTGCTCCAAATCAGGTGCAAGTGACAACACCTGAGGCCCTTTCCACCCCTACTGGTCAGAGGAGTATCAACAAACTGGTAGAGTTGTTTGTATTGGGCTTTTGAATGAACTTGCCAGTGGGGGAGTTGGAGGGGACCTGTGGTGGTTTGTGTAAGATTGACCATCATAGGCTCTTATTTGAGTCCTTGGTCACCCGGAAGTGGTACTACTTGAGAAGATTAGGAGGTGCAGCCTTGTTGGAGGAAGTGTGTTCCTAGGGGATAGGTTTTGAGGTTTCAAAGCCCATGGGAGGCCCAGTGTCCCACTCTCTTGCTGTAGATCAGGGTGTAGCTCTCAGCTACTTCTCCAGCACCGCACCTGTCTGGTGCTGTACTTCCTGCCATTAAGATAATGGACTAAATGGCTGAAATTGTAAGCCAGCCCCAATTAAATGCTTTCTTTTGTAATAGCTGCCATGGTCATGGTGTCTCTTTACAGCAATAGAACACTGACCAAGGCAGGCCATATCTATCAGGATAATGAAAGTACATCAAGAGGGTCAGACTGTGTCAGAGACCAAGGCAGGATTTTTTATGCCTGAGCTCTGCTCATGAATTCCCTGAACTGTGTTGTAGGAAGGGACAGCTGGGTTTCCCTGTGACCACCCAGAGAAGCATCACTCTTTATATCTCCCTAGGAGCAGATGTTTAGCTGCAGTTTAAGGCACAGAAAACTTTCTGTCACATAATCATGACAATGACACCAGCTAATACCTACTGGGTCCTTATAATGGACCACACATTTGCTACAATATGAGAACAATTGGAGGGTTTAGTACAGTGTTGCTAAGAAACTTAAACATAAGAGAAAGCCTGGATTGGTGGCAGAAGCATATAATCTCAGCTACTCGGGAGGCTAAGGCAGATGAATTATAAATTCAAGGCCTTCCTGAGCAACTTGATGAGCTGCTGTCTCAAAAAGAAAGACAAACAAAATGACCTCCAAATGTAAAACAAACTAACCTTCAGGCACATAAAAACATAAAACACAAAGTAAGAGAGAGACTCTGAGAGAAGCAGTAGGGTCTTATACTACACCATGCTAGGCCACAGTCTTCTTTTGATTCTCGATTTGAAAATCCTGAGACGATTTTCCTGGGCTTTGTTTCCAGAACAATAATGATGTCACTGGTGCCAACATGCTGCAATTAGCTCATCATTCTTTACTTGCAATGTTGACATTAGCTGAGAACTCTGTCTACTGTCAGATCTGGAGATGATTTCAGCTGTTCTCAGGATGTGTGTGTGCCTGTGAGAGGGAGTAGGACCTACTCCACCAGCATCTCAGAATATGTAGGGGAACCAGGCTCAGTCCAGGGAACTACACTTGTCGCAGCAAATGGTGACATGTGCTGGAGACAAGCAGATAAGCAGTGCCTTGGTCAAGCAGTGGTACACAGTTCCCATATGAGAGTCCTCCAGGGACACACAGTTCCCATATGAGAGTCCCATGTACAGAAACAATGTGTCACCTTAGCTATCTGACTAGGCCATAGGGCACATTTAACACTGGCCACAAAAGATATTTTACTTTTGCATCTTGCCCGTATCTATTTAAATGGGCAATACTTTGTGGTGTGTATGTGTACATGTCCTCTTGGGTATAAAGTGTCACTCAGTTAGAAACAAAACAAAAAGCAAACAAATAAACAAAACAAAAGGAATAGGTAATGAAGAATAAGATGGTAACAGACTGTCGTAGTTAGGGTTTCTATTGCTGTGAAGAGACACCATGACCCGGGCAACTCTTATAAGGAAAAGATTTAATTGAGGTGGCTCGATTACAGTTCATAGGTTCAGTCCATTATCATCATGGTGGGAGGGACGTGGTAGCATGCAGAGAGACATGTGCTGGAGAAGTAGCAGACAGTCTTCATCTTCCAGGCAACCTGAAGTGGTCTGAAGGTCACACTGAGCAAAGCTTAAGCTAAAGAGACCTCAAAGCCTGCCCCCACAGTGACACACTTCCTCTGACAAGCCACACCTACTTCAATAAAGCCACACCTCCTAGTAATACCACTTCCTCTTGAGATTTAGGGGGCCAATTACATTCAAACTACCACACGGACCAAATGTTATGAACATTCTGCGTTAACCAGGAAAACATTTGTTGATAACTTGGTTTCTTAAGTTTCGATGTATCAGAGAAACAAGACTGACCCTGAGAAGATAGTATGTGCTTGACACATCTATTCATGTTATCTCAATTTGAGGCCTTTATAAAGGAGTTACATTATATGGAGGCTAAGAGCTTAGAGTTAATGTATATGCTTTGTGGGCTGGAGAGATGGTTCAGCTCTTCCAGAGATTCCTTTCCCATGGTCTACATGATGCTCATAACGGTCTTTAACCCAAGTTCCAGAGTGTCCTGTGCCCTCTTCTAGCTTTTGTGGGAATCAGTCACATACATGGTTCAAAGACCAGACATTCATGCAGGCAAAACACTCCTGTACATAAAATTAAAAAATTATTTATTAAAAGTAATCAAGTCTATATTTCTTATTTTGTTCATTTGAATTATTTCATTGCTCTAAAATTTGCTTTTAAAAAATTCCCTACACCATATATAATGATACATATAGTTTTGTTATAACCCTAAACAGTAATAAGAAGGATACATATATTATTATGCCACATATTATAGAGCTCACATGGAACATGTAGCTTCAGAGATGAAATCATTGAACTTTTTTAGTGTAGGGGGCCATTTATAAAAATTAAATACTGAAAACTTTGTAACTAGATATGTGGACTTAACATACGTCTGAAGTTGTTCCTTTATGCACCACCATATTACTGTCTTAAATTCATCAGTGAGGAAGCTGAGCTCAGAAGAGTCCAGTAGCTGTTCAAGGAAGCGCTGCTGGTAAACAGGACAGCTGGAGCTCATCTAGAGCTTTCTCATTCTAGATCGCTGTCTACCTTCCTCAGTGTGCTCTAACTATAAAATCGTTGTCCATGACACGATGCCTGGAAGATTGTTAATACGTTGGAATTTTCCAGGATTTACATATAACAATGTCTCAACAATATTTGCATGTATATAAACATATGGCTTTGTGACTAGTAAGTACATATAGATCAGGAATTTACAAGTCTGGAATCTAGTAGGAACTGAATAAGCCAATCCAGATGGACAAAATAAGAATTCTATATGATTACAGAACACTACTCATTCAGGTTATTTTTTTTTCTTAGCAAGCGTGCTCATTCATAACACATCCTCTTTTAAATTTTTAAAAATTATTTCTTTCATTTTGAGATCATAATTACAAAAATTTCCTCTTCCCTTTCCTCTCATATGTTTTCTTTTAAAATATTTTTTATTTTTAAGATTAAATTATACCATTCTTTCTTCTCTTCTCTATCATAATACATTTTCAATAGTTTTTGTTTAACAATGGATTTCCTGAACCCAAAAGAAAGAACATGGGAGGTGCAAATGTGGATTGATGTCTTATGGTTAAAAATCCAAATCATCACAGACTCAGATATTATCATCTGTATATCCATCCATCCATCCATTCGTCCATCCACCCATTGGTCTGTCCATCTGCCCATTCAGGAGATGAGCCATCTGCCAACTTCATAGCCACAATTTTGCATATTAAAAATAAAAATATGTATTCAGAACTTGTTCTCAAATGTCAGAAATGATTCTTATTGGAGAAAAAGTTAGAAATAAATAACTTATTCCAGGCTTTTGTGATTGTTACTTTGCATTGTAGATTGGTTCCAAATAGTTATCTTTTCATTAGCAAATCCTACTTGAATTATTAACATAATTGTGTTTTATTTACATTTATATTACATATCTTCCATTGAGCAGTGACATTTCTTTCAAAATAGGAATGAAGTAGATTTATCATGAGCTGGGTCAAACTAGATGTTCGTGACAATAACTGGTGAGGCTTTGCTGTACACTTGCTTTATACCTGACAAAGGCCAACACCTTGCGGTCTACAGCGTGCTCACTTGATCACTCACTTGAATAGGGATGGAGACACTGGGGGTGGGGGCTACCATTCACAGTCACTCAGGTGTGGCCCTCATGAGTTCAGGAAGCAAAACCAATAGTTTTACCTGTTGTGTTGAAGCCAAAAAGAAGAGGGCAGGATACAGCAAAGGCCAGCACCCACACGGCTGTAATCATGAGTGTCACACGCCGACAGGAGCTCTGTCCGGTGCCATGCTGATACTGGACTGGCATGACCACTGCTGTGTACCTGAGACGGAGTAAGGACGTGTGTGAGGCATGATGGGAGCACCAGCTGAAAGAGGTTACCAGAGGATGATTCATTGAAGCATCTGACAAGAGGAACCTTACTTAGTTGAAGAGAGTTAAGGAAAGTGTTTGACGCCAGTAGAAGGAGCAGAAACAATGTAAGTAAGAGCTGGATGGTGGGGAGGAGTGCCCTGGAATGCTGCCATGTGGACATGACGTGGACATGACATTCATTAATTTACTGAAGCTATGGTTACCTGCACAGACAGACCTGCATAAGGTCAAGCCAACAAATGTGTCAACATTATCAGGAAGCACGGGGTTCAATGAGTTACAAAGCAGGGAGAGGGGAGACAGGAAAGGGGACAGGAGAGGACAGATAGATACATATAGAGAGACAGATGACAGATAGATAAAAAGATAGAGAGATAAGGTAGATAGAGATAGATAAATAGATGATTGACAGATAGATAGATAGATTAGATTAGATAAATAGAATACTCCAGTGAGTTACAAAGAAAGGAGAGAGGAAAGGGGGAGAGAGACATGAAAGGATGTGTTGATGTGTGGGAGGCATGAGTTGAGGGTGGGTATGATCAAGAGACAACACATACATGTATGCAATTGTCAAAGTTTACATAAAAATATTTTAAGGAAGGAAAAATATTGTTTCAGTGAAAGCAGAAAGGCTAAGAGAGATGAAGAACTCATTTGAGGATTTACAGAAAAAAGGACAAAGACTGAAGAGTTAACAGAGCAGCACTGAGTTGTGGGTGGGCTTCTCCCTGATGACCAGCACAACTCATAACCGCCCTGCACTCTGAAGACACTAAATGTGGGTCTGTGTGCCTTCATGTTCTCCCACAGTTTTCCAGATAACAGTACTGTGCCCAAGTGAGTTGCTTACTCCCTGCTTGTCTGTGAGTATACAATCTACTCATAGAGTGATAAGCATTCCAACTAAGAGAGGATTGGAAAACAGAGCTAATATCCAATGGAAGCTTACTTTGGAATCCAGTTTTCAAGCACGTGGTATGTTAGTCTTTTTCATGACCATGACAAACATCTGAGAGAAACAACTTAAAGGGAGGAAGGCTCACAGTTTTAGAGGTTGGTTGGCTCCTTACTTTGGTAGTTCAGTGAGGCTGAACTCTACAGTGGTAAGAGTGTGTGGAAGAAGAGACGGTTCATCTCAAGCAGTCAGCAAACAGAGTGGAGAACCATCAGGAGCCAGGGCCAACATATACCCCCAAAGGCATTTTTCTAATGACCTACTTCCTCCGAGTAGGCTACACCTTCCACAGTTCCATGACCTTTCAATAGTCAATTTATATTTTTAGTCCACCAGTAGATTGCACCACTGACCATGCCAGCTCCTTTAAGATCTGATCATCACAGAATACACCCACAGATACACCCAGCAGAGTGATTACTAATCTCACAGGTAGCTCCCAATCCAATCAAATTGATAATGAAGACTGACCATGCCACACCGTCAAAGTCTGTCCCTTATTTTGATTGGCTAGTGTGTTTTCTTTGGTCACTACTTACACACATTTCCATTGCTTTTTGGACTTCCCTAGACAAAGTCAAGATGTTCAAAACAAACCCTGGCTTCCCACATCCTTTCATCTAGTTCTAGTTTTTGCTCTCTTCAAGAACTTTGGTTGCCCAGCCCACTATGAGGGATGCTCTCTCAGCCTGGACTCTTGGGGGAAGGCCTAGGCCCTGCCCTGGATGAAATGGCAGACTCTGGATATCCTCCATGGAGGGCCTCACCCTCCCTGGGGATCAGAGTGGAGATTGGGTGGGGGAATTGGAGCCCTGGTGGGGAGGATAGGTGAGGAGGGGAGGGAGAGGGATTGACATGTGAAGCAAGCTTGTTTCTAACTTAAATGAAAAAAAAAGGAAGAAGAAAAAAAAAAGTCCAGACACAACACCCTGACCTTTTGACTGGTCTTTGACCTTTCCATGTCACTTGCTTACTGCCCATTTCACTTTTCATTCAGTGTTTATACAGCCCCTGCTGTGTACTATATATAATACACAGCCTGTCAGGCCCCATTCTGGATGGAGACCCATGAAGGTGACACTGACTCTATCCTCATTGAGCTTAGAGTTCAGAGAAGGGGGTGAACAACACAAATGCAAACAAACATGTTGACATAAAATGAAAAAGACTGTTAAAGAGATGTGTTGGATGATGTGATGGAGAATGTTGAAGAGGTTAAGTCAGGGGAAACCCGCCCAAGTGCATGGTATCAGAGGGACTCAGCTGTTCTAGGCAGAAAAGCAATAGATGCCATAAACCAAACACTGTGATCATTTCTCTGCTTAGCCCAAGCCCTTCTATGATCTGCTATCTAGGTGGTCTTCTGCCACCAAGTTGCTTACCCCAATTTCATGATGTCTTCCCTACCTCCATAGCTAAAAATGCTAAGACAGAAGAACTCCCAGGATTTCTGTCACATCTAATCCCCACCTATTGCATATGGGATAGACCTGTGGGAATAACATAACATTCCTTCATGATTAGACTGCTAATAAAAAGGGAAATAGTTTTGGGAGACCCTGACCTAATCAGGTGAACCTTAATAGGGACTGACTTGTTCCTGAACTCAAAGAGCTTCAAAGCACGAGAAATTATCTTGCCTGGAGGATCAAACTGTCCTAGTTGGTTCTTTGGCAGGGAATAGTAAAAGGCCCTGACTGACCTCCCACAATATAGTAAGAACTACACTGCTATAGTTGTAAGAAACTGAGTCCTACTTACAGCCTGAACATGCTTGGAGGACAATTCACAGCCCTGCCCACAACTTGGGCTCTGTCTTGTAACCCTTGACTGTGTGTGCAGGGTTGTGGTTGTGGTTCGTATTTCTAAACTTGTGATAATTTGTTCTGCCACAGCAGAAAACGAATAGACTGTCACTGGCTCCTTTTGTATACACAGGCTAAACCGATTTTCTTCAGTGTGAGCTTGACTTCCTTCATGAACACAATTTTCTGTTGGCTCTTGGCATGAACTCATGGCTCCAGCCAAATTGGCCTGATGGTGGATACTTTCTCACAGTCTTTGTCTAGTCCATTATCCTTCCTCCTCTCTGAGAATTCAGTCTTGCCTTCCTAACATCTTGAGGAACCTCTCTGTGCCTCCCCAGCTAGACACCTGTAACTTTGAATTTATAGTGCACCTATGCCGACCAATGGCATTGGCATCCCGAGTGTAGGTGTCTTGATTCCTCATTGAGCTTGTCTGAGATGGCCACTTGGTTTAAGTTACTGAATGGCTCAGAACATCTTATATCTCAGTATTCCCCGTAGACCCATGCACAAAACAAATAAGAAGCTATTGTCTGTCTCAGTGGTCCTGAGAAGGTTCCTTCCTCTTAAAAGAATGATTTAATCCTAGCCAGGCTCATGGGATTTTAGATATGGGTCTCAACGTAGACAACAATTTTTGTTTTTTCAGTTTCCTGGGAGCACTGATGCCAGATTTAGGGCAGGGGTCTCCTCAATCTGTCTTGTGCATCTCAAAGCTTGGACTAAGGAATAGTGAGATGCATGCTGGGTGAGAAGGGGCTAGGCAATGGTCCCTGTTCCTCCTGTGTGTGTCCATCTCCTGTGTTCCAGCTCTGCCTCTTACACAGCTGGCGTTTGAGAGTTAACATTTGTGTTCCTGACAGAACAGTCTAGAGAGTACTGTGAGTTTTGATATGAAAGCTAATGCTGACTTTGGTCCATATCGTATCAGTGACAAAGGTAGCTTTCTTCTGAAGAGGTAGAAAGAGAGCTCTTGATTTAGTAAAGTCCTGTTTAAAGTCCCTATCAATCTCAAGGGAGGCGATGGCGGTCATAGTCCTCTCTTCTGGAGCACACATTACAAACCCTCTCTTGAGCTCTGCGTGGTCTGTGCAGGAACACAGCACATTTCCCTGGTGGTCCTTCAGGCCTCTCAGTCTGGGTACTTATTTTCTGCTTATAAGAGAGGGACCATAGGGTCAGAGAAGTCAGGATGGACTCAAAATTTTGCAATGGAGCGGTCCTTGACCAGCCAGATCCCATATCTCCTGGGCCAGTGTTTTTACCAAGGCCCTCATTCCCTCTTGAGGCACACGTAGCTCTCCTAGTCCTGTAAGGAAGCAAGTGTTTGGGGTATGAAAGTCACAATGGTCCAGTGGTTCGTACATGGAGACCAGTGTGGATTCCCTCAAGTAGCTTGATTCTACTAATTGTCAGTGTATGGGGTGTGGAAAATGTGGAGGGTTTGGGGGAGCATGTATTGGGGGAGGGTGTGCTGTTAAAATGCACACTCCCAGGCTATGCCCCTAGTGGTTTCGCTGAGGTACTTCTAAAGTGCAACCCAGAAACGTGTATTTTTAACATCTAATGTATCTTACTAGACGACTCTGCATTAGGGAGAATTCTGTCAAAGCTTCTCGTTCACTTGGGTAAGAAATGAGAGACAAGATTACAGTCTTCCACTGTCACATTACACCCTTTCCCTTCTTTCAAAACGATTAAGCCGCTAGAATAAATGAGGCCCCCCAGCATGTCCTAGGTGGGTGGCTAAGAGCTTGAGGTTGTTCCCGAATCCACCATTGGAGGGCACCAAAATGCAGCAAGAATTTCGTCAGCTCTGCCGGGGTGAGAAGTTCACGGCTCACCTGGGGGCTCTCCAGGCTCTGTGGGGAGGCAGAGCGGGAAAACCGCTCCCCTGCATTCCTGGAGCCCCGCGAGGACCCCGTGTTCCCACCCAGGGAGACTGTTTAGCCTCTGGTTTTCTCTCAGAGCTATTCTTGAAGGCTAACCGCAGGCAGGCAAGCGGAGGCCAAAGCCCTGGGAAAGGCATGGCCTGGCTTAGATGGAGAAAGAAGCCTGACCAGGGCCACCTCCCTCTGGGTATGCCCTGTCACAGTCCCTCCTTTGTTTCAGCGTCTACCTTTCTGGGCCCTTTCTCCTGTGGAACACTCAGCTGACCCAACTGCAGACAGTGTACACACA